TGAATGCATTTAAAACGGTCTTGGGTCATTTGACCTACGAGTCATTTGACCTACAAATATTCAAAATTGCACTTTTACCCTCATGCAACTCAGGAACAAAAAATAAACTTTTTCAAAAAAATTTCATAAAGTACGTCTAAATATCTACGTTATTTATTGACGAATTTATTTTTAAACGTTATTTTTGAATTCCTTAACCTAACCTAACTTAAAAATGTTTGCATCCATAAATAACGTGTTTGAATTTGTAGGTCAAATGACTCCTAGGTCAAATGACCGAATACCATTTAAAACCCATATATATCGGGCGTAATGATACTGACCACTGATACTGACCACTAGTACTGACAACGATGTTTTTTGAATGCCTGTACTGTGAGCCGTATGAATGCACTTATTGTGCGCCAAAGAGATCCCTGTCCTATGGTGTCGATGCGGTTGGTGTCGCCTTTCTGATCGGTTGCGTACCAATCGATACCTTGATCTCTATAAACAAATAAAATATTTTTAAATAATTTATATTTAAATCAAAATAAATAGAAAATTACTGTAATTTGAGAACTATTTGTACACAAATCACTTTTCCTACAGACTATCGGTACTATAAATGAGCAATAAATGTATGAAACTTAAGCTTCCTTTCCCTCTTAATGTAATGCTAAAAACATAAATAAAAGTTAATTTGTAGGCAAATGTGACACAAAAATGTGTATACAATGCATACATACCGCAAAAATGATAATTAAAACCATTATAGTGTTTATTTCCGGACTATCAGTGCTATACAGCCAGTGCTGTGATCCCTGTCCCTCGATCCCATTCACTCATAATTGTAAACGATATCTAGTAAATGGAATATAAATACAAAATTTCATTTAAAAGTAAACAAAACATTAAATAAATCCAAACCTCTATCCAGTTAACGACTCTTATCTTAAGTAATTTTTAAATGATTTTCATAATTGCTATTAAGTATAATTAACTAACAGTATGTTTGATGTTGCATATAAACTGTATTATGTTTAGCTGATAGCCCATTATATAAACTTGGAGCATGCAATGTCCTTAACAACATTCAAACAAATGTGCAATAATAAATGCACTGATATTTTAATTGAAAAAACTGTTTGACTCAATGGTTGGACCCACAAGTGAACTGAACGACTAGAATGTCGTGAAGTGTTACACAAATGTGCTGATAAAACAATAAACGAGTGGTCTATCCAATGGGAATATACTGATGGAAAAAATATATTCAAATAATGGCGAATCGGTTGAAATCAATCACACGACAACTCATTTTCTATTAGTTTTTGCAATCTATGGTTAACCATAAGAATTAGCTTAAAATGAAATGAAAAACCACTTTCAAACTGTCGCATTCATAATGTAAGTAATTATGTAGCTGTTGAGGGGGTAAGTCGCCGGAATCGCCCACACATCCACTCCATACAGGCGCCTAATCACTAAAACCGTATCACAATTCACACACAATTATACACCGGCTTTTCTAATTCAATGTGAAAGTATTGGATATTGTAGGATATTGTTTATATTTTAACATTTTACTAAGTAACAAAGACATTAGATAAAGACAATGAAAAAAATTTAAATATAGTTTGTAGTTGTGGGTAATAATCACATAATTATCGTTACAATACGTAAAATGTTAAAGGATATGGTCGAAATTTTCCTAAGCTGGCATTTTTTATTTGTTGATTGGAAATGAAAGCCCATTCAATGCTGAGTCCGAATATGTAATTTATATTGTCCTTTGACCTCGGGTTCGGCCGCAGTGACCACTTTTATCGGGTATATTTTATAATAAATATG